CTTCCAAGCCTACTTGTTATTGTTCGTGACACTGATCCGAATCAGGGGAGAGGAATGCTTAATCCTTTGCCATCTCACCAAAGCTTCATCCAGATATGTTGTAATCAGGAAATAATTAAAGGTTTGAAAGCTAAGTTTTGTATTGTGCACATCAAAGACGAAATGAGCTTTAGTCTATTCTAAATCTCATCATTTGTAAGAGCCTGGTTGGATCTTACCTAGTGCACAGTGGATAAAAATCCAAATAGTAAGGCATGAATCCTATAATCCACGATTATTGGTAAGAGATGGATACTCAGAATCATATTGTATTGATTCTGGAGTTAGTAGTTAATTTTGTGATCTTTTTGACACTAATTACATTTAGTTTTGGTCAATTTGTTTTAGTTTCTGTTTACAATAGAGACTATTACAAATTCTGTAGGTGAAATTTAGGGGGCTTTGCAAATCCCATACTTTAATTGCAAGTTTTCTCTAACTTTTCCCCACTCGGTTTCATTGAATTTCAGAATTTTAGCATTATAAAAGAAAGATAAAATTATTTTCCAAGTCTAATCTATGTTTGCATAAAATTCCAGATTCCTTCAGTAATCCAATATATAGAGTAATGCTTCAGGCTTGGAGTAGATACCCTGTTGTGCAGGTCATCTGTGGACACAGGGATAACTCTGCAGTCCCAGTCTGAAAGTGCAGAATCAAGCACAGTGGGGGCACTGGGAGTCCATTTTGTAGTAACCACGAGTGTTATTTTAAGACTGCTCAAGGTTTTCTATTAGTTTTTTTGTGGCACCTTTTTCACAAAGTTGAAAAAGCACAGGGCTCACCACTGGTTTCCAATCTGTTGCTATAGCTTCCAGTTCTCTTGGCTGGATGTCACAGTGGTGTATGGTTTCTTTTTCCAACTCTGGTAGTACTTGAGTGGTTGACCTTGAGGTCTCTTCCCAGATTCCATACACTAACCAGACAGGCATACAGTGGTCATCCATCCTGAAAACATGTTCACCCATCTCATCTGGGCTTCGATAATCAGTGACTCAAATAAATTTGTAATACTGATCTCTTCTTAGGCCCTTAAAACATACCTGTTTCAGAAAATAATGGATTTATTGGTGTGATTTAATTTATTTAGATATGTTTATTAAGGATTTTAACATTTCTAAGATTTGTATTTATAAGCAAACCTGGAGGAATGGCATGGATAGAGACTAATTTATAGAGATCCTGTTGGTTGTCTGACATTTTATAGGAATATGGTTCTCTGGAGCCATGGGACTTTTTTCTTCTCTGTTTTTTAGTATAAGGGGATCCCAACCTTTGGGTAGGGTCCCAATATTGAGCCACACCCCATTCAGAACTGGGCCACGGAAATGGCAGGCAAGTGTATGCATGTGCATAGTTTACTGATGTAAGTAGTGGGCAAGCACACACCCTCAAAGCTCCATTTGTGTGAGCAGTGGATGCGTGTGCCGCCACTTGTGCAAATAGAACTATGTGCATGTGCTCACCTGCCACTTGTAGGGCACCATCCCCTCTCCCCCTCTCCAGTCCACAAAACTTGGGGACTTCTGGCCTAAAGTCATAGAGTTGGACAACATTTAAATCTAATCAATAAACATTGATAAGCAATGAATGTCTTTTGATGAAAAACTCTAGGGAATCAGAAGATCTCTTATTCTGTTTACTCTGGAAACTTTAAGTAGATTTCACTTATGATAGATGTCCCAGGTCCACATACGTTAGAAGCAATGCTGTCTTGCATTAGCCTGGATTTTTAATGATAACTTGCCTTTCTCTCCTATTATCAGATGCCACATCAGGGGTGGGATTCTATCGGTTCTGTCCAGTTCTATAGAACCCCTTGTTAACTTTTTAAGCAGTTCGGAGAACCAGTAGTTAGAAGCAATCTCCTTTTGTTTTTTTTCACCCTTATTACATTCTTGCCAGTACGCCTAGACATCCTTTCTCCGGAGTTTCTGGGGCTTGACTTTCTTAAAGGGGAAGGGTTGTTTTAAGATTTTCACACTGTTGTTGGGAGGAAATACTTCCCTGGACAATCAGCACTTTGAAGAAATAATTGAATAATGAATCAAAGCTTTTAGTGACAGGGAATCAAGATGAGTGACATTCAGCAAGGCTTCTTGGCTAGCTAGAAAGATTGACATTCAAACGTGAGCTTACATACCCTTTCTGACTTTTGGTCTAAAACTGGTTTTTGGTGAAGGTTAATTCTCTGCTTGGTGAGGTTTAATCCTGTGTTTATTGATGGGATAATTTTCTCTATTCAGCTTCAACAAGCAACAGCTACTGTTGTGATTTAATTATTTGTATTGTGTTTGAATTTTTTCCTGTCTCATGGTTTCTTTTTCTATCTGGGGAGGGGGTCTTCTTCACTGTTTTAGTACTATCCGGCACTGTCCTTTTGGGGTATACTTCCAAGAGGAAGGATGCAAGCTTGGCACTGATTTTTTTTACTGTCTTTCTGGGGGGCATGTGACCTTTTCTTAAATCTGGATGATTTCCTTAGGATATCTTGTGAGGTGAGTGAGACCAGCTGGTATCTTTAAGTGGTGAAAATGGATCTAAGGATTACTTTTCCCCGGGTGTGCTTTTTCTGGAGAGCTTAAATGACCTCTCTGCTAAAGGGTTTCACTTTACGAGCAAGATTTGGCTGCTTGATAGTTATCACTGCATTTTAACTATTTTCATTCCTCAAGGTGCTCTGGCACCCTGCCTGATTTGTAACTCTGGCTTGCAGGTATTTTTAATCTAATGATTGGTATTTAGGGCAGCTTTTTGCAAGCAAAGAAGCTTTTTGTATTTTTGTACAGGCAATCCTTGACTTACAACAGTTCATTTAGTGACCATTACAATGGCACTGAAAAAAGTGATTTATGACCATTTTTCACACTTATGACCATTGCAGCATCCCCACTGTCATGAGAGGCCAGGTGAGGAGAAGCGCCCCTTGACATGAGTGATGTCGAGTTGGCCACACCCACCCAGTTTCATGATCACCAAGCCACACCCACCAACTAAGCCATGCTCTCAGACCCGGTTGTTAAAAAAACTGAATCCCACCCCTGTGCCACATCCTCAAAATTCCTCTCTGCATGCATAAAAAATAACAGAGAGAACTACAGAACTGAATAATATGTAATTTTTAAGAACCTATTTCACAGAGGGCATACCTCTGTTGTTCTTTTTGCATACACATGTGCTGCTTATTCATTTTGTTCCAGATGGGGATTTGAGCAAGTGGTTCATTGTTAAGAAAGTGCTTGATCTTTTGTAACTCTACTTTTGATTGGCTGCAGTAAATCTCAGAAAATCTAACAAGATTTGGACAGCCACTACAGAAACATGGATTTGCCAAAACATCCTCAAGCATTAATTTAGCATAATTTTTCCCATGTGCCCTGCAGCTCTTGGACCTCTCAATCTGGCAAAGTATCTCCCCCATCCCCACGCTTACCACTTTCACAGGATTGTGTCTTACATTGTTGTAAGCTGGCAACTTTTGTTGCTGACAATGACGTTTTGTACTTCGTGCAAGTTTTCAGTGTATGATTCCTTTGTGAATAACTAATACATTGCTATATTTGGGGAAATAAAGCTATCACTGCTCTAACACAGATTCTTGCACAATTCAGAATATTTTATATTATGTTAGAAATCTGATACTTCTATGCTGTAACCTTTTCAAACATTTTGTACTAGGTATGGTTGTGTTTTATTCAATTAGTTTTCATAAATAGACCGATTATCTTCTTTGTAGTCTAATTATGAAACATTGTCAGAATCTACTACCACAGTTCTTACTTAGAAGTAAAGCTCAGTTGGAACATCCTTGCCAATTAGATACTAGAAATTTGCTTCACAATATTAAATCATGCAACAGCATTAAAGATTTTGCACAAGTTTCTTTTTTAATGCATAAGTTATAAGGTTGATAGTTTAAGAGCTAGGGTTATGGCGAGAGCCTAAGCTATATGTCTGGTTTCAATTTCAGAAGGAAGGACATGTTTTTATAGGAATTAAAGTTCTGTGAATGTTCTGTGTTTTCTATTTAGGAAAAATTCTTTGAAAATACTTTAAAATAATAATCACTGTCTCTCAATCCAACCCACCTCTCAGGGAAGATGTTATTGTGGGTAAAATAGGAGGCAGGAGCATTACAGTATGCACATTGGCTTGAGCTGTATAAAAATAAAGATGGGTTGTAAATGTATTAATAACAATAAACTGTTATTCTTTACTTGGAACAGAATACTGCTGAAAGAAAATAGCATCTCCTAATCATACCTGTAAATCAGTCATTTCCAATTTGGTATATTCTAGATGATAAGTTGTAGAACGCTTTAACGGAATTTTCATTGTATTGCTTTTATCTCAAAATAGCTTTTTGTGTAAAAATACATTTTTGGTATCCTTTGTATACAGTTGGAGAGAAAAAAATCAATTTATTAATATAAAGGCAACTAAGATTTACTGCAAAAATCATACACTCCAATTTTGGATTCAAGTTGCCATGCCTATTTCTGTTTAAATGGTGCCCTCTAAACTGATTGAATCTCCCATAACTAAAGCCATCTTGAGTGTGAATTTAAATAATTATGCCTGTCTGTTAAAAGTTTTTGTCTTTCTTTTCCATTGAAAAAACAAAAAGTAGCTTTGTAGTTCACATATGCATCAGCTTAATCCATGCTTGAATAAAATGACATTGCAAATGTTTAAAATCATAACTATGTAGGTTTTTATTTAGTGATAGTTGTCTGAGTAAACATTTCATGTCTAACATTATTTCATGAAGGAAGTTTACCACATATTTATGTTAAATATTGAATATCTTTCTGTATAAATAATTAAAATAAATTGAAGGAATTATAACTGAATGGTTATAATTGAATTTTAAGCATTATTTAATTTCCTAGGTAATTATTTATACATATGATTATGTATTATTTCCATGCATAATTTTCTTTATGAATCTTTTTTTCAAGAGAGCACAATCTGATGAACTGGAAAAGATAGAAAAGCATGGCAAATCAAGTAAAGAGAAGGAGAATGCCAAATCTTTGGACAAACCTGAACAGTAAGGATATTATAAACCATCTACACTGGTTGGAGAGAGTCAAAACTATTAACTTTTTAGTTCGGGTTCAGATACAACACAAATTGTTCTAATTGAAACAAATAATTAACCTGTTCAATACATGCAATAACTATGAGGTTCAGTTCCACTTTGTTTGAGAAAACTGGATTACAATGTCCTCAGGCTATGCACAATAGTGGTGTCCTCCTGTTTTCCCAATTCTTCTTTCAGTAGATGAATTTACTACAAGTCCTTTGGGTTGTTTGCTCCTCCCCAGAAAAAAGTATTTGCTCGTTCTTTATGAGAATAGGTTTAATTTGATCCTTATCCCCCTGCTTAGCTATTTTTTCCCCATAACCTTGATACTTCCTTTTCTCTTGCACATTCTTTGAATTTACATCTTAATCCCTACTTCAAATGTATTCAATTTAGCTTTGTGTGTGCATGTGTGTATAGTAACTTCACTTACAGACATAGTATTCGATAGACACCAAAATATATTTGATGTCAGTTTTCTTATAAGGTTACTTCATCTCCTGAGCTCCCTGTCTCTTAAGAGACAGGTGAGATCTTGCAAGATTTCAGCTATCTCACATTATAATTCAACTATTTTAGATAGTTGAAATCTTGCAAGATCTCACCTGTCTCTCAAGATTTTTGTTATGGAAAGTCCCAAGACTTTTAATTTATATTTTCAGGCAAAGATGTATGTATATGTGTGCATATATATGTGTACTTCTGTATTAACCAGTCCTCTATCAAGAGAGAGAAGTAAGGTTTTGCAGAATCTCTGATGGCTGTACCCATCCTCTTCAGGAAGAAGTATATAAACCTGTACAGACCCCAAATCTATACTTCCATCTAAAACCTTTATCCTTTTTTATCTATTTTTTTTCTGCTGCTGCTGAGTGACTCACATTCAATATCTGAACCAAAACTCTGAGCCCCATTAACAGGATAGCACTATTAGTCACTTCTTTGAGGGCCTAAATCCTTTCAAGGGACACATATTTTAATAAATCTTTTCTTTCCCTGCAGTCTTTTTCCTCAAGGAAAGTGCCAGAACATTTCTCTGTTGGGATATCAGTGTCCTTATGAGAAATTAAAATGACAGTTAGTCACTATCTGCAAAACTGTTTTTTTCCCCATTGCTTAGCACTGGCTAAAGTGGGTTGGTAAGTGGTGAAGAGGTATCTATATCTACTGAAAGTTTCATCTCAGGTGGAAGACTTCTAGGTAGCTCCAGAGGTTTCACTGCCAGTTTCAGAGAAGAAATGGATCTCATTGTTCTTTAGTCTCGTTGGGTCCAGAACCATTAAATATCCTTTAACTGCTTCCAGTCCTTTTCTACCCTTCCCCCTATGTTTGGGTTCCACAATCATAGAGATAATCTATTCCCATTCAGAACAAATTTTCATTATTCATTGGTTTCATTGGGAATGGTTTTAGACTATAACTCAGAACTAGTTTTTGTCCATCAAGTTCTTTTAATAGATCTCAGTCATATTTTTCCTTAATGCCTCCAGGTTTCTTTATGAGCTCTCCCTGATTCCCAACTTCTCTGAACGAGCTTTTTGTATCCTGTTTCAATCAACATTCTCTGAAAGCATTTCCTCTCTCCGAAGCAAACTTGAATTGTTGCAGAAACTGTGTGAGGTAGGTTCTGGACCATCTGATGCAAGACCTAGATTGGCTGATATTTAATCTTCCTTATTCAACAATACTCATATTTCAAAAGTTTTATTTATTTTACATGCTCATTAAATGTGAAGGATAGCAGTCCTGCTGAATGGAACATTTTATGATTGTGCTTCAAGATCAAAGTAAATCTTAAGATTTGGCTTTCAGTGCTGAAGTATAATAACACCACAAGTCTATAGCCAATGCACATCAACCTCTAGAGAATAATATACCTTTTTCCTGTGCCAAAGCAAAATCTTCTCTCTTTGTAACAGGCACTGGCTTTCCTTCAGCATTTCCAAACAAACATACATTGACTTTTTCTTTTAGAAGTTCTTTGTTTCTGTAATAATATATAATAATCAGCCGACTGTACTTTTGGCAGCACTGGCGAGAGCAAGCAATCTCCCACACTTAGCTTTATAACAATGAACAAATATTAGTTAATATTACATAGGCTATATAATCTTGAAGATATCGCTATAAGTTCAAGATTCTTCTTCAGTCTCAACAAATCATACTTGCTATTTACAATGCTGGAAAGATGATTTTGAAACTATTGTGGGAGGAGGTTATATAACACTCCTTTTTTTTCAATACCCTCAACTCCACGTGAGGCTTTCATAACTGTAATTCTCCATGTGAAAAAGTCTACAGGGAATTGATGGATTGCTTAAAAATGTTCAGTTAAAGACATGTTCCTCAGGGACTTAATAATTCCTCAGTCACCAAACTCTGTTGCCATTTTTCAAAGCTTGGGTCATGCTTGTTTGCAGCCAGTTTCACTGCCACTGCTGTTATGCTGGAATCAGTTTCCTCCTATTTAAGGCTTTCTGCATTGCAACCAATCTGAGGTCAATCCATTGATGAACGTTTTGCTGCCATTCCATATAATCCATGGAATTAACTTGGAAGCAGTGTCACTAAGGGAATAGAAAGTCCTTGCATTGTATTCCATCTAAAATTGTCATGGGAATCCATCTATATGCCCCTCCCTGGAATGGGAATAATATACAGTGCAGTAGTGTATCCACTTTGCTAGGCAATTAAATCAAAGTTTCCCATTTATATCCAGTGTGTGGTTTGCCTATTTGTTTATTTGTATCCCACTTTTTCTTGAAGGAGGACAAGAAGGCACAGATGAGGCTATCCAACTTTTTATCATCATACTATTATCAATATAGCCATTTGTTCTTTAACAAAAGGGGGATACTTTTTGCTGACCAGACTTTTCATAGCTGTCAAGAATTCCTATGCCTTAAGGAAAGGATAAATCTGTGTCCCCTTTATTACAAAGCTCTGTATTTTTCACAATTGCCAAATCACGAATATACTTTATAAAGTTTAATTTGCATAGTTTAATTTTGCCAGATGCCTACTTCCACTCAGAAATGTTTGCACTGATTATAGGGCTCAGCCTGCATGGTTTTTTCAAGTATTTTAGTGCCAGGAGAGTTAATTCATTCTCCTACAATTGCTGCTTGTCTCTGTTCCACTGCCTGCATAGTAGCTTTAGGAGGCTGGTGTGATGGTGTATGGGAAAGGCCTTGGGAGACTGGGCCAAGAGAGCCTGCCAAGAGAACAGTTGGATAAGAGACAACATGACCTACAACTGTATCGTGGGATGGGCAACCATCTCAGAAGGCTTCCTTCCTCCCCTAGTTTCTTGGGGAAAAGATTGCAAGATTGATGTCACTCTCACGGAGTAAACCAAATGAAAATCACAACCGGATGAGCTAATTATACTTTATTGTAAAGCTAAATTGGGAGAATCTTGCAAGTCTGAAAGTACACCTCTCTTCCCTCCCCTCACCTCCTTTATAACCCAAGAAACTAGGGAAGGTTTCTTCTGAGTCTCTTGCCCCATCCACTGTCCAGTTGTGGGCTGTGCTCTCTTATCTGACTGTTCCCTGGGCAGCATCTGTTGGCTCTGTCTCCAAAGGTCTTTTCCAATGCTATTACATTTATTTAACCCAGCACTTCCTGCATCTCTTATATGATGGATTCATGTCAAGAATTGTCTAGATCATTTCTCCAGAAGTGATTATACTATTGGTTCTGGGCCCAGCCCTATCATGCTAAAATTGTTTAATATTAAGGAAAAAGGTTTAACTTAAAGAAATTTGAACAAGCTTTGGCAAAAAATGACAAGTACCTGAACTTGAATATCTTTAACTCTAAACTATAGTTCACTATTTTGTTTCTATTCTCTTAAGCAATGTTAGAAAATCTTCCTCTTACGGTATAGGTGGGGAGCTTATGTCATTACTAATACTCCTGAAAAACAACTCTTTTCCACCCTGTCCAATAGTGGACAACTTGAACAACATTTGAAAAGTCTTAAGCCCCCCAGCCCTGTACTAATCTTACAATAAAAAATACTTTTAAGTTTGAGGCTCACAGAATTAATATTTCTGCATCTGGAAATAGCACTTGGGTATCGGCTTCAAGTTAGGGACGTGGTGGCTCAGTGGCTAAGATGCTGAGCTTGTCGATCAGAAAGGTCAGCAGTTCAGTAGTTCAAATCCTTAGCATCATGTAACAGAGTGAGCTCCTGTTACTTATCCCAGCTTCTGCCAATCTACCAGTTCAAAAGCATGTAAAAATGCAAGTAGAAAAATAGGGACCACTTTGGTGGGAAGGTAACAGCGTTCCGTGCATCTTTGATGTTTTGTGATGCCAGCCACATGACCACAGAGATGTCTTCGGACAGCGCTGGCTCTTCAGCTTTGTAACGGAGATGAGCACCGCCCCCTAGAGCCAGAAACCACTAGCACTTATGTGCAAGGGGAACCTTTACCTTTACTATTGGCTTCAAATGTTCAATAACTCCTTTTCTCAAGATATAAATGTCCTTGATTTTTTAATTAGTGATACACCTATGTAATAGTAAGGAATTAGAAATGTAATTATTACTAAAGTTTCAGATTTTTTATTATTTTGGGATCATCCTGATGTGATTATGAGCTACTTAAAATTAAATCATTTTGACAATAGCTATGTGTTTGTACATTTTTTATTAAATAAAATGAAATGCTTCTAATATGTTCTGTAGTAACTTCTCTGCGTCTTGTCTCCCCAGATGTTGAAAAGTGGCTCAGGAGTTATGCGGGTTCTAGGCTTGGTCCTGGCTTTTGGGAATTACATGAATGGTGGAAATAGAACAAGAGGACAAGCCGATGGCTTTGGACTAGACATACTTCCCAAACTCAAAGATGTCAAGAGTAGTGTAAGTTTTACCTCCCATGCCTTAATTATTATGACATTTAATATGCTGTATTGCTTTATTAAACATGAAAGGCCCATGCTTACAGTGCTTGTAGTGCTTGTGGTGGCGCAATGGTTAGTACTGCAGGCTGACTCACTGCTCAGTCCAGGAGTTTGAACCTGAGAAGGAAGGAAGAAGGAAGGAAGGAAGGAGGGAGGGAGGGAGGGAGGGAGGGAGGGAGGGAGGGAGGGAGGGAGAAAGGAATCTCCACATGTAGACATAATACATGTTATTATGTTATTTAGTCTTATAGTAACTCTTGGATACTAGTGGTGTGTAATAAATTGATGTTGCACAATTTTCATTTTTAATGTCCACAAAATTGGAATTACAGGTTTTTGTAGTTTGTAATTCAAAGCCTAACAAAATGTTTTCAGGAAATGCAAGTAGTCCTCAACTGAAAATATTTTGTTTAGTGACCGTTCAAAGTTACAATGGCACTGAAAAAAAGTTACGTGAGACACTTATGACCATTATAGCATCCCCATGGTCATGTGATTTACAGTTGGATGCTTGCCAACTGGTTCATATTTATGACTGCCGTAGTGTCCATGGGTCATGTGGTCAACATTTTGTGACCTTCTGACAAGCAAAATCATTGGGGAATTCAGATTCACTTAGCAACCATGTTACTAACTTAATAAATGCAGTGATTTACTTTTTTAAAAAGTGGCAAGAAAAATCATAAAATTGGGCAAAACTCACTTAACAAATTTCTCACTTAGCAACAAACATTTTGGCTCAATTGTGGTGTTAAGTTGAGGGCCACCTGTATGTGTATTAGGAAAAAATATATGAAAAAGGATGTACCAGGAGGTATAACAATGATCAGTTAGCTTTATAGTATTTTTTCTTCCAAATTTGTAGATTCATACTGAAATAGATTAAAATAAACTTGTGCTCATGGAAGAAACCCGAACCTGACAAATTAATCTATCACAAAATCCTGTTTATTGCTAACATATTCTATTAATATTGAAAAATAAACATATTCAGTGGTTTTAAAACTTTATAAGTGTTCCATTTAACAATAAATTTATAAAACATCTAAGTAATCTTCCCACTGCTGGCGTATATTTTCCTTTTTTATATATTTCAGTAACATAAAAAAAAAATTACAAACTGGATAAAGATCATTTGTAAGGCTCACAAAGGGGAAGATCTTTTCATTTCAAAATTTCTTAGAATTCTTGCCTACACTATAAAACGATCATATTGTCTTAAAGGTGATATTAAAGATATATATTATCTGTTGCATAAATGCATGGAAGCCTTTTGATTTTGTTTTCACTTCCACTTTTGGGTTTCATTTGCTTTCTTGCATAACACAGGTAGTCCTCACTTAATGATGATAACTGGGACTGGCAACTCCATCGCTAAGAGATCTCATAAAGTGTGTGACATCGTATGACTGCACCAACTTACAACAGCAGTTCCAGCAAGCCCAATTGCAGTTGTTAAATGGATTCCACATTATAGTTACAAACATTGTCACATAATTACCATTTGAGAAGTCCTGACAATTTCATCATTGGCTTTGCTGGTTGGAAATTGGCAGTGAATATCACAACATGTGATGGCAATAGCAATGGCACTTAGACTTATATACCACTCCATAGTGTTTTACAGCACTCTCTGAGTGGTTTACAATGCCAGCATATTGCCCCCAACAATCTGGGGCCTCATTTTACTAACCTCAGAAGGATAGAAAACTGAGTTTTCTACAACCCATCAGGATCAAACTCCAGACTGTGGGCAGAATTAGCCTGAAATACTGCATTCTAACCACTGCAACCACCAGCACTCCTCATGTGACGGTAAGATGCTGCTACAATCATAATTGCAACTTGGTTACCAAGTGCCCAAATCACGATCGCACAGCAGCAGCTACTATGACTAGTCATGAGTCTCCTCGTTCAGCACCATCATAATTTTGAATGGCTGCTGAACAAGTGGTTGTTATCTGAGGATTACCTATGCTCCAAATGTATACAAAAAGAAATTATTCAATCTAAATGTCTCTATACTTCATATATAAACGCTATTTAATTTTGACCTTATACAGGATAACAGCAGGAGTCTTCTGTCATATATTGTCTCATATTATTTGCGCAATTTTGATGAGGTAAGTATGAACTTCCAGTTTAATCTTTTTTTCTTTTCAGATAGTTTTTGTTTCTGTCATTTAATATAAAAACTTTTGATGAGATCTAGTAGGGTAGTTTCTTGAGGGAACTAAGAATAAGGTGACAAATCCTTTCATATGTGCTCAAAATCTGCTTTTTCCACCTCAACCTCTAAGGAAGGTGTTTAAGGGCACAGGAACTGTGCAGTGTGAAGGCGAGTTTAAAAAATGTTGCATGTTCAAGGGCTTTCTTTCACAATATTGAATGTCATCTTTTTATCTTCTGGTTCCTTAAGCATGCAATGAAGGCAGTTGATAAATTTGGTTGTTGTTTGCTGATGGCTTAGATACTTTCAAAAGTGAAAGATGTTGCTAACACACTACTCAATAGTATCACTGGCTAAAATCTGCCAAAACAAAGCAAAACTGACTGGATTTGTGTATATATGTATCCTGTCTTTATTTTTATCAATAACTCAGGGTGGCAAACATATCTAATATTCAGTGGTGGGAATCAATTTTTTTTTATTACCAGTTCTGTGGATGTGGCTTGGTGGGCGTGGCAGGGGAAGGATACTGCAAAATCCCCATTCCCACCCCACTCACGGGAAGGATACTGTAAAATCTCCATTCCCACTCCACTCCAGGGGAAGGATACTGCAAAATCTTTATTCCCACTCCACTCCTGGGGGAAAGTTACTGCAAAATCCCATTCCTTCCCCACCCCACTAACCTGCTTTCCTGCTTCGTTCTGTGCGAGGCAACAAAAGAAGACCCAGCCGATCAGTTGGGACTTGGGAGGCAGAGAATTGATGGGGGCAGGGCCAGTCAGAACTACTCAATTTTTCTGCTACTGGTTCTCCAGAACAGGTCAGAACCTGCTGAATATCACCTCTGCTAATACTCCTTCCTCCTCCTATTTTCCCCATAGCAACAACCTTGGGAGGCGAGTTGGGCTGAAAGAGAGTGACTGGCCCAAAGTCACCAGGCCTAGGGCAGGAGTAAAACTCACAGTCTCCTGGTTTCTAGCCTGATACTTTAACTGCTATATCAAACCAGCTCTTAAGTTTGTCACTGAATTGTTTTTTCTGACATTTAAATGCCGCCCAATCAAGAACATTCCCTTTACAGATTATATTATCACTAATACAGAAATTTAGCTGAGCCAAAACAAAGTAATGTGAAGGCAGCAGATTCCCCACCCCTGCCTTAAGTAATACTTGCTCTTGAATCACTTTGATAATATATTTAATGAAAGGGAGACAAATATATAGTTCTTGTCTCAATGTTATCTATTCAACCTTGTTTTACTAGGATGCCGGCAAAGAACAATGCATCTTCCCTCTTCCAGAACCACAGGATCTTTTTCAAGTTTCTCAGCTAAAATTTGAAGAGTTCAATAAGGAGCTTCGCAAACTGAGAAAAGACTTGAGAGGTAAAAGCTTTGACTTCTAGGCAGACATGGGAACATGCTGGCAGATACATTGGAACATGCTGGTAAACACCTCTAATCAAGTGTACAAGAAATGGCAACGAGAAAGCCACCATGACAGTCAAATTCTCAACTACAGAAATGTGTCAGACCTTAGGTTGCGTTTTGAATTATATTTAAAGATTTAGATGGACTTGTTTTAAGAAAGGAAATGGGAAAATTCAATTGCAAATCTGAAATTATCCATTTTATTTTAAATTTTATATATATATATATTTCTTAAGTTTTCGCGGGTACCTACATGTATGGTGTTCGGCTTGGTTCGGGTATTTTCCCACGTCATTATAGTTGTGCTTTTAAAGTTGTAGCAACGTTTCAGCAGAATCTCATCTGCCATCATCAGGCTTCTGTATAGTGTTCGTCTGAA